TGCTCAACCACGAGCCACACTAGCCAGCCTGATCAAATGTCTTCTTAATGCTCCCCCTGATCTTCATAAGTGTCATAGACATTTGAATTTACTCCTCTGTTCTACACGGATGCATTTATACATGACTTTGTAGAATCCTAGAGCCATGAGGTGAGGATACAGATGGGAACTAACATCTCTCCCACCCAATAACCTAGCTAACCTAGTGGTTGTATGTTACCTGGTATTTCTAGGTGGGCTAACTTAACACCTGCACAAAGATCTGTCAGAGCTGACGTGACAGTATTGAAGCAAATATTTCATGAGCCTGGCCTAAGGGCAGAACAAATGAGGACCAGAAAGAAAAATCTCTGAGACTCATTGTTATTCTCTGCCGCTGCCTCCCCTTTCTCCTACATATAATAGGAGTATTGGGCTAATCAAGTTGTGAATTTACCATCCACGGATTCCTCACACCTTCTAGAAAATCAGCGTCAGCTTTTAGAAATGCACGAGAGGCACAGTGAACTGTCAGGTAGAGATCAGCAGATCCTTGTTCTCCTACAAACCATGCACAGCCCCCGGGGAGGGGTTGCCTGTCTGGTTGTTCAATAGGAGGCTGTCAACTTTAAATGCCACATGATCGTTATCTGGTCACATGCATATGGACATAAAAATCCTAAATATGCACATTAGGCGTATAAAGAAATTGGCAGTCTCCTGGAGGCTGGCAAAACATTAGACACAGTTAAGCAGCGTTTAATGCCAAATAATTTATCACAGCAACCGACGCTGGAAGTGGGCTCCTGCTGGTAGGCTTATTCACATGGCCACACCTTCAGAAAAACGTATTTTGACAGGACAATTAAGAGAGGGAATTAATTAGAACACTTTTGTGTGGAAAGAAAAATGCCCCTTACGAGGTGAGTAGATGAGATATTAACAATAAAATACCTTCCACTAGGAAAACAGAAGCTTTTCTTTAAAATAATGAACTATTGAATAAATAAAATTGAAATTTTAATGAGGTATATTAATGGAACTTTTTCTTAGTGGATAATATATTGATCATATGATTAATAGGAGGGTCAGGATAACAGAAGAATCTATATATATAAAATGCTAATATGCAAAGTGTCCCTTATAGCGTTCAACCAGGAGACCGGGAGTTCGATTGCTCACTATGGCATGCGCTAACCACCAGGGGTTGGTGCAGAATGAAAGAAGGCCCCAGCTGGCAGCCAGAAGGCCCCGATCCGCCCTGACTGCTGGCCAGGCCTAGGAACCCTACTCGTGCATGAATTTCATGCACCGGGCTTCTAGTAGACTATAAAACAGTTCAACGTTTACACCCTAGAAGATCACCACGCCTCTCTTGGAAAGCAGTGAGAACAGTGGACAAAACACAGACTGTGGGTTCAGATTCACAGCTGAGTTTGAAACTTGGCTTTGTCCCTTTTCAGCTCCATGGCCCTGGCCAGGTGGTCTAACTTCTCTGAGGCTCATTTTCCTCATACGTAAAAGGAGAACTATAAAATTTTCTTTGCCCTGGCTGGTTGCACAGAGGTTAGACCAAAGGGTCACGGGTTCCATTCCTGCTCAAGGGCACATACATACCGGGGTTGCACATGCAGGAGGCAACTAATTGATGAGACTCTCTCATGTTGATGCCCTACCCCCCCGCCCTTCCACTCTCTCTAGAAATCAATGGAAAAAATATCTGCAGGTGAGGATTAAAAAATCAATAAAGCCGGGCCAGAGTGGCTCACTAGTTGAGCACTGACCTATGAACCAGGAGGTCATGGTTCAATTCCCAGTCAGGGCACATGCCCGGGTTTCGAGCTTGATCCCCAGTTGGGGGTGTGCAGGAGGCGGCCAATCAATGACTCTCATCACTGATGTTTCTATCTCTTATTTATAAATAAATAAATAAAATAAATAAATAAATAAATAAAATTTTCTTCACAGGAGAAATCAAGAAGGAGTCCAGGAACCCTTTCTTACAAGCAAGAGCCTCCCTTAGCTCCCAAACTCACTGTGTCTCCATCACCTGGCCGGAGCCAGGAGGACCAGTCTCAGCAGACACTGGATGCTCAGTCACCATCGCTCTCAGTAGGGAGCCCGGGGCTCCCACGTGCCTGAACTTGGCTCTCCATAGGGCCCTGTGGAGGAGGGGGCATTCCTTATCCTTCTCCCCCACATTAATTTTCCCTGAAGCACTTATCACCACCTGATAATGTGGCTTATATTCCAGTAATTTCTATGTCAATTTATTAAATTCCTCTTTCTAAAATCAAAGTACCTACTAAAAATGTAAGCTCCACACTGGGAAATCCTGTCGATTTCGCTCAATGCTGTCTCCCCAGGGCCTTAGGCACGTTCCTAACACACAGTAGACACATTGGCTGCTCCTTTTCCTGCGCTCCCTCCCCTAGAACTGAACTGGGGAACACTGACTGCCACTGCGCATGTGCTGACCTACCGCGCTCCCTCCCACACCTCAGCACAGAGAGATCGAAAACAACCACAAAAACCTGTCCAAGTTATAAAACAGTATTAATCTAGAATTACTGTTCTGTATTATTGTAGAAATAAGTCAGGTTAGGCACAAAATACAAAACTCCGAATTTGACCTTTCTTTGAATAAGTCCCCTTATCTCACCACTTGGGACAGTGTGTTTTGTGCACTAATTATGTTTGTTTAATCCGGACATTTTAGCCAAGTGGGAAGAGCATTCCTCAGCTGATCCTTGGCTTTTCTGCTGAACTGCCCTGTGAACTGGCCACGCTCTGTTTACACGAATATAAAATGAGCGTAATACAAAGGTCCGTTCTGTTAATTTCAATGTCTCATATTAGGTTCTGAAAGAGTTATGAATTCTAAACCCTAACATGCTACGTACAATGTATTATTCTTAGATTCTAACTGCCTTTCATTATCTTCTTTGGTGTTTAAATCAAATAAATATCAATTGTGTGTATAAAGAGAGATTGCTTAAACTGCCTTGAAACAGAGAATACATTGTTTAGAAAAGTTTTCTTACTCTTTTTAGAAATGAGGAAAACCTGAGATACCCAAAGTCATCTAGGCGTCACAAAGTGAACAACATAACCACAAAATTACAGACCAGCCTCACTTGTAGATAGAGATGCTACAATGTGTTGAAGAAATAATGCCATAGGACAAAGTAGTTTTTATCCAAAAAATGATCTTATAGGCACAAGGACAATTTAGTTGATTTTACTAACAGTTTCACCCACATAAATCCAGGGAGGCAAATGTCCTAGCTGTGTATGCAACCTTACTCACATTAGCACACATAACTGTATTAGTAATTAAAAGCGCCCTTGAATGCACAAAATGTATACTAGTATCAAATGTAGAAATGCATTCTAAATGTATAATAAAACTTCCAGAAACTTATTTTTGAACTTTTCTATGACATATTTAAACTAAACCCCTCCTTTTATTGCCTCAAAAACGTTTTACCTCCACACCATCTTCTGCCAAACCAGGCTCATAGGCTATACTTTTATTTCTTAGTCCACATCTTTCAATTGCTCTCTCTTTTTCCTTCATTCAAACATGAAAGGCCCCTTTAGATTTTTAGATTCTCCTAATCTTCTCCTTTTTCTTAGCACAATCTTTACAAAAGGCTAAAGGGCTGATGAGGCAACACAGACTCACAAGAAGGAAGAAGAGTGGGATGATAGGGGAAGACGGAAACTTCAAAATTGTCCTTAATGGCTGAGCAGAAGTCAAAGAAGCTAATTTTTGAGTTGTATGTTTTACTCAGCAATATATTGATGAATAAGAACTTTATGGTTATTTTGATAAATTCCACAAAAGCATTTAAAACAATTATAAACCTTTTCTAATAATTATTTCTTAGTTGTTATTGGAGAAAACATCTTAAACTCAGATTATTATTATTATTATCCTATATAATAAAAGGCTAATATGCAAATTGTCCCCTCAACTGGGATTTCAACTGGGAGTTCGACCAGGGGGCAGGGCTGGCCCGCCAACCCTCTGTGGCCCCTCCCCCTGGCTGGACCCCACCCGTGCACTAATTTGTGCACCGGGCCTCTAGTCATATAAAATATAGTTGATTGACTGGTTCTCAACTCCTATTAGTTTGATTTGAATAATTTCTCTTTATAACTATGGATTTTTTTATTGTTGACACTATTATAGATGTTCCCCACTTACCCCCCCTTTGCTCACCTCCACCCAGCCCCCACACCCTTTCCTCTGGCCATCACCTCACTGTTGTCTATGTCCATGGGTTATGCACTTATGTTCCTTGGCTAATCACTTCACCTTTCATCCAGCCCTCCCCTCTGAGAACTGGTTGGTTACTCTCTAATAAACAAACAAATAAAAGTGTGTCTCCAGTCTAGACTTGCTGAATCAGAATCTCTGACATTTGGGGCCTGAGCATCTTTGACTTTTAAATGGCTTCTCTGATGCCACACTTGCCATCTAATACCTGAAGGAAGACAGGTAACTACCTGTTATTTCAGCATGAGGTGGACTTGACCAGGACTCTGGAAAGCTATGAAAAGTGCTATGGAAACACAGAGCTGGGATACATTGATTCTGATGGAGAAGCCTTCATAAGGGGTAGAAGATGATAAAGTCTATGAAGGATGAACAGAAAGTAACAAGGACCACTTAATAAGGAGCACTTATGGAGCACCTCACTGATGAGAAGAAAAAAGAGTTTCACTTGAATTCTCTCCTACAGGATAAATCTGCAGATACTGGAACGCAGACTTCTTGCCATTTTCTAAAGAAAACATTCCAGTTTTTGGTGCTGAGGAATGTTTAAACATTAAGCTTGACAAGGCCTGATAAGTGAAAAACATGCCATTATAGACACTTTTTAAAATCAGAATTCCAATGAGAATTTATATTCAAAACCAACAAATCAACATTCTGACACCTCCAGAATTCTAACGAAGACACGCACTGAAGCAACTTCATGTCATCTCGGTTGTGTTTCTTTGGTACTAACCTCCGAAGTACGAGCCGTCGGTCAGCTTCATTTCTTTACTGGACTTTGTGATGACTCCAGCAACACCATGCTGAATGAAGTACATTTTTTTACCCACAGCTCCTTCTCGTATGATATAATCTCCAGGTTGAAACACCTCGAATCTCAACTTGCTCAGCATGGCAGTCACAAAATTGGGGTCAGCGTTAGCAAACAGAGGCATCGTGGCCACGAGTTTCCGACAGTTGAAGTTGACTATCTCCTAGAGATGGAAAGAGTAAACCAACATTAGGAGTGATATTATTCATAGCAAGAAGAAAGGATATACTAAAATTATA